AATTTTTCTCTCAGACTAGAACAGTGAAATGAATGGAAAAATAGCACTTTATTGGTATCTTCCTCTCATATATTGTGTTTAATTGTGTGGCTGCTCAATTACATTTTAAGTAAGTACAAACCTGGGGGCTAGGATTTGTCCTTACTGTGGAACACACATTAAACATAGGACATAGAAGAAACCTGAGCAGCTTATCAGGTATCTCCCTTTAAATTTGCTTTTCTCCAAAATATTCTATAATCTCAGACTCATCAAAAGCTGCAGGAATAGTACAAGAATTCTCATTTACTCTTTCCCCAGATTTTCTAAGTATTAACCTTTAATCCAGTTTTCCTCATCCTTTCTTTCTCAAAAAGTAGTGTCAGTTATCTCTTAAAATGCTTTGTGTAGGGGCTGGGAAGGTAGCTGGCGGCATGAGGCCCTGGGTCCAATTCCTCAGCACCATATAAGCAGAAAAAGCAGGAAGTGGCACTGTGGCTCAAGTGGTGGAGCGCTAACCTTGAGCTGGGACAGTGCCCAGGCCCAGAGTTCAGGCCCTACAACCAACTCCCCTCCCTGCCCCCACAAATGCTTTGTGTAAACTGGGCCCTGGAGTACCACTGTGACTCAAGTGGTAGAGTGCTAGACTTGAGCATAGAGGCTTAGGGACAGTGCCCAATCTGTGAGTTCAAGCCCCAGGAGGACTGGTTTTTGTTTTTTGTTTTTTAAAGCCTTGTGGCAAAGCACTTGCCTAGTAAGTGCAAGATCCTGGGTTCAATCTCTAGTACAAACAAACAAAAAAAAATTTTTTTTTAAAGAAAAGCCTATTCAGTGCTTAAAGCCAGATACTCAGAGAAGCAAAGGGTTTTATAAGCTTTCAAAGATGCAAATGAGATTTTTCACAATAATACATAGTAAAAGAATAATTTGCATAAATAGAAAATCATGTTCATTTTACATGTAGCTGTAAAGATCACATTTCTATTTATGGCTGCTTTTTTGGGGGGTAGAAAATTAGATATTGCAGAATTATTGTTTATTATAATAGTCAAGTTTGTGTGTAGGTGAATGCAAAGTGTGTAATATTAGTATACAAGTTTAACTCTTCAGTATGAATCCACTTTATAATTTTAAATCCATCAGTTTTATCTTTAAGAATTAATTCTTGCTGGGTACCTCTCTGGAAGCTAAGATCTGATGATAGTGGTTCAAAGACAGCAGGGGCAGGAAGGTCAGTGAGACTCATATCTCCAGTTAACCTCCAGAAAACTGAAAGTAGTGCTGTGGTAGAGTGCTAGCCTTGAGCAAAAGAGCTCAGGGGTACAGCACCCAGGCCCAGTTTAAGCCCTATAACCAACAAAAAAAATCCATTCATTCTTAAGGGTTTATCAAATAATATGTAAGGTTTTTTAATAAAGATAATATGGACTGCTTTTATTATTCTCTAAGATTATTTGAACACAGTTCTTTTTTAAAAATTTTGTTGTCAAGGTGAATTACAGAGGGGTTACAGTTACATAAGGTAGCGATCACATTACTTGTCTAACTTGTTACCTCTTCCCTCATTTTTCTCCCTAACGTGTAATATAATTTTTTTTCAAATTATGATAGAGTATACATAACAATGATTACCTCTCAAACTTTTTTTTTTTGGTCGGTCGTGGGGCTTGAACTCTGGACCCTCAGCTCTTCAGCTCAAGGCGAGTGCTCTGCCGTTTGGGCCACAGCGCCACTTCCGGTTTTCTAGTGGTTTATTGAAGATAAGAGTCTCACGGACTGGGCTGAGGTGGCTCAGTGGTAGAGCGCTTGCCTTGCATGCATGAGGCCCTGGGTTCAAGTCCTCAGCACCACATAAGCAAAAAGAAAAAAATAAGCCGGAAGTGGTGCTGTGGCTCAAGAGCTGAAAAGCTGAGGGACAGCGCCCAGGCCCAGAGTTCAGGTCCCACGACCGGACCCCCCCCCCAAAAAAAAAAAAAAAAAAAACAAAGTCTCACGGACTTTCCTTGCCTGGGTTGGCTTTGAATCGTGATCCTCAGATCTCAGCCTCCTGAGTAGCCAGGATTACAGGCGTGAGCCACCAACGCCCAGCTTTCAAACTTTTTTGGGGGTCTGGTCGTGGAGCCTGAATTCTGGCCTGGGCGCTGTCCCTCAGCTCTTCAGTTCAAGGCTAGCACTCTACCACTTGAGCCACAGCGCCACTTCCGGCTTAAAAAAAATTTTTTTTCTGCTTATGTGGTGCTGAGGAATCGAACCCAGGGCCTCATGCATGCAAGGCAAGCGCTCTACCACTGAGCCACCTTCACAGCCCAGCTTTCAAACTTTTTAATTATATAGTTTAAAAATGTTGCTGGGCGCTGGTGGCTTACGCCTGTAATCTTAGCTACTCAGAAAGCTGAGATTTGAGAATTACAGCTCAAAGCCAACCCTGGGCAGGAAAGTCCGTGAGACCTTTGTCTCCAAATTAATTACTGATGAGTAAACCGGAAGTGGCACTATGGTTCAAGTGGTAGAACGCTTGTCTTGAGCTGAAGAGCTTAGGGACAGCACCCAGGCCCAGACTTCACGCCCCATGACCGACCAAAAAAATAAATAAAAATAAATAAATAAATAAAATTATAAAAAATGCTGAGAGTAGAGTTAAATATTTTCACCCCCAAAATAATTACATATAGTAATGCATATTATTAAATTTAAACATTCCACACCGTTTGTGTATATATTGCAAAACATGTTGTATGCAACACATGAATAAAACGTTATCTGTCAACTTAAATTTGAAAAAAAAAAGTAATTTCTTTCATTTTTTGCCAGTGATATGTTCAGAGACTTCCAATGGATGCCCCAAACTGGATAGTACCAAACTTTAAAACTAAGCACTTGTCACAGTGTTTACTGGCCATAATTTATATGGTCTGAAGTATAGTAGCCAAACAAGCATGAATTTATTTTTCCTCCTTCACAACTTCATGCATAACGATTAATTTAACCTTACATATTTTTTTTTACTTTAAACAGTATTTTCAAACTGGATGCCAGTGGCTCACACCAGCTATTTAGAAGACTGAGATCTGAGGGTTGCCATTTGAAGCCAGCCGGGGCAGGAAAATTTGTGAGACTCTTACCTCCAATTAATTACAAAAAGAGCTGGAAGTGGAGCTGTGGCTCAAATAGTAGTTAGCCTTGAGCAGAAAAGCTCAAGGACAGGGCCTAAGCTCTGAGTGAAAGACCTAGGACCAGCTTGTGCTTGTGCTTCCTCATTTTTCTTTCTCTATGTGTGTGTGTGTGTGTGTGTGTGTGTGTGCACATACACATACATACATACATATGCCTGTCTATTCCTATATGTATATAACATACTTTAATCGTATCCCCCATTACCTTCTTTTGTCTTTTTGAATATATTTTGTTATATTTATACCCTAATATTCACTTTGGGGGGGGTTGCTAATGTAAGTGCTATTATGTTTAATTTCAAATTCTATTCATTTATTGCTAGTGTATAATATTGACTACTTAATTTAGGTTAGTCTTTAATCTTTTGTGTCCTGGGAGGTTATTTCATGCACTATTTACAAGTTGTATTCTTACTTTTGTATGTATGTACAGGTCCTTGGGCTTGAACCCCTGGGTCTCTCCCTGAGCTTCTACACTCAAGGCTAGCATTCTACCATCTTGAGCCATAGTTCCACTTCCAGCTCTTAGGTAGTTAACTGGAGATGTCTCAGATTTGCCTGTGGTTGGTGGTTCACGTCTGTAATCCTAGCTACTCAGGAGGCTGAGATCTGAGGATCATGGTTCAAAGCCAGCCTGAGCAGGAAAGTCTGTGAGACTCTTATCTCCAGTAAACCACCAGTAAACCAGAAGTTGGGCTATGGCTCAAGTGGTAGAACACTTACCTTGAGCTGAAATGCTGAGGGACAGCGTCCAGGCCCAGAGTTCAAGCCCCACAACCAAAAAAAAAAGGCTCAGATTTTGCTGTATGAATTAGCTTTGAACCAGGATTTTCAGTCTCTGTCTTAAGTAGCTAGGATCATAGGTATGAGCCACTGGTGCCCAGATAGTATGTATTGCCTTCATCTTTTCTGTAACTAAATAGCTGACAGAAACAACTTGTGGGAGTAAGTACTTATTTTGCCTCAAGGGTTTAGAAATTTTGGTTCTTAAACTGCTAGTAGAGCATCATGGAGTAGAGCAGTTCACATTATGACAACCAGGAAGCAGAAAGGGGGTTCAAGATGAGAACAGAGCATAATAGCATTCAGGGATACTCCCCCACTCTGCTAATGACCTACTTCCTCCAAGTAGATCCTACCTTTCACCACTTTATAATTCTATCTTATTATGACTATATCACCGGTTAATCCATTGACTAGATCAGAGGCCTGACCTCTGATCTAGTTGTCTATCAAAATGCTTTGTCTGTCTCTGTCAATCTCTGTCTCTGTCAATCTCTGTCTCTGTCTCTCTCTCTCCCACACACACACAGACCAGTGTGCGTGTGCACACAGTCACACATACACATACAAAAGCAGAGGCGTGATTTTCAAGTATCTAGGCATTTCTTAATCCAATTAAGTTGAACCCCTAGCACGCGCACGTGTGTGTGTGTGTGTGTGTGTGTGTGTATGTACATATATATGTATACACACATCATATACTGTAATCTTGTTATAATTGCTATTAGTTCTGAGAGTTTTTGTTGATTTAGGTTTCCTACATAAATAGTTCTCTATTTCCTTTCCCAATCAGTGTTTTGTTTGCTTATTTAATATTACTTTATTAGCTAGAGTTTCTAGTAGAGGATTGAACAATGCAGTGAAAGGAGAAATCCTTGTGTTTTTCCTTGTGATTTTTAATGGGAAATTTTCTATTTCTAGTTTCTCACCAATATGTATGTTAGTTATAGGGATTTGGTTTTAATTTGGGTTTTATTTTTTATTATTTTGGTTTTATTTTTATTTTTTTGATAAGGAAGGTTCCTTTTTAATCCTAATTTGCTTTTTTTCCCCCCTCTTTTTAAGGTAGAATAATATGTGGTACATAGGTACCAAACTTCGTTCCCCATTTACCCATTGATGGACACTTGGGTAGCTTCCACCTTTTGGCTATTATGAATAATGCTGCTATGAACATGGGTATGCACGAATCTCTTTGAGATCCTGCTTTCAGTTCTTCTGGGTAAGTACCAGTAGTGGAACTGCTGGATTTTATAGTAGTTGTATTTAAAATTCTTTAGGAACCAGTAGACAAAATTTTATATGCAAAGATGTTCATAACACTGGTGTTTATAACTACGTAAATATGGACACCTCCTTGCTTCATCAGTAAGGTATTGGTTACATAAGTTATACATTAAAGTATCCTGAAGCTATTTATTTTTTTCAATGTTACATTTAATGCTTTCACCATTGTACTTCAAACCTACATTGTACAAAGTGACCAGAAAGTATGCCATGGTAATTGATCAACCTCTGAGATTGTACCTTTCACATGAGTGTCTTCTTGAGCTTTTTTGATACTAAACATGTTTCTCATTTTAGTGAACTGAAATGCTTCTGAAGCTATTTAGAAAGAATAGATCTGTATGCTTTAAGTGCTTCTTTAAAATTACTGGTTCACTGTAGGCCTTACAAGAAGCACAGTTTTATTTTGTTTTGTTTTTTCGGTCATGGGGCTTGAACTCTGGGCCTGGATGCTGTCCCTGAGCTCTTCAGCTCAAGGCTAGTGCTCTGCCACTTGAGCCACAGCATCACTTCTGGTTTTCTGGTGGTTAATTGGAAGTAAGAGTCTCACCGACTTTCCTGCCTGGCCTGGCTTTCAACTGTGATCCTCGGATCTCAGCCTCCTGAATAGCTAGGATTACAGTCATTAGCCACCAGCACCCCCAGTTTTGTAAGCAGAAAACAAAGTTGAATAATTGTATTTGGATGGGGAAAAAACATCTAGCTCTCATTTGTCTTTGAAATATGAAGAAAATACTAAATATTTCACTAAGTGATTTTTATGTCCAAAATATTATATGCTGGTCACTAGTATAATTTAAGTATCATTTTATTTTATATTAAAGTATTTTTATTGTTATGTGTTATTTAGTGTTTTGTTGACTCTCTTGTTCTCTCTGTATATACATTCATTGATACACAGTAAATTTCTATCAAAATGGTTTGAATCATGCTTTTTATTTCCTATGATTTGGTGTGGTGATGTAAGGACTAAAACCAGAGATTTGTCAGAGAAAATATCTCTTCGTTTAAACATTGTGTTAATATTTTGCAATGAATCCCTTTTTTCTGGCAGTAGATCTTCATGGAGGAACACGGAGTGACCCAGACTGAACACATGGCTACCATAGAAGCCCACGCAGTGGCTCAACAAGTCCAGCAGGTCCATGTGGCCACTTACACCGAGCATAGTATGCTGAGTGCTGATGAAGACTCCCCCTCGTCCCCTGAGGACACTTCTTATGATGACTCAGATATACTTAACTCCACAGCAGCTGATGAGGTAACGGCCCATCTGGCTGCTGCAGGTAATGTTTGGACTGGAAGCTCTTCTTTTTTTTCTTAAAACTTGAGATAGCATTCCTGTCTGAAAGAGCTAGCATTTAAGACTCAGTTTCTTTCTCTTTTCCTTTTTTTCTCCCCCTCCAGTCATCAAACCAAGAGCCAGGAATATATTAAACAAGTGCTCTACTACTGGCCTACATTCCTAGCACCTCATAGACTTGAGTTCTATAGTCATTTACTATTAGGGTTATGGCTTTAGTTTTACTGTCTTGTCCATTATGACAGTCTTGCCTAGTTTTGTATCATTTCATTTTTAGTCAAGGTCTCACTTACATAGCCCAGTCTGGCCTCAAATTCATGATCCTCCTTCTTCAGCCTTTTGAGTGCTAGGATGAAGACTCCCCCTCGTCTTGTCCCATGTAGTCATGTAGTCCCATACTTGGCTTCTTTTGGCTTTTAACTGAAGTATTTGTTCCATTTATATATACATTTATATAAAATGTAAGGAGTGGTTTACATAGATTAGATTTTTAAAAAAAAAAGATTTCTTGTTGCTGCTGCTGATATTGTGATCAAACTTAGTACTTTGTACATGCTAGGAAAGTGACACCTCCCAGTCCTAAAATTTCTAGTATGGATTTGTTTGTTTTTGTACTTCCCACCTCTTTTTTCCTCCACTATAATTGTTTCTCGTTCTGGTTAAAAAATACTTTCTTTAGGTTTCTATAGTAAACATTACAGTTTTACAGTTCATATGGTAACTCAACATTTGAAGTGTTTTTAGTGCCATTTCTTATTCATGTTGATCATTCTCTTCACATACTGTTAATATGTGTATACATGTTGTATTATGTCTTTGAAAAATTATTTTTAGAAATTGTCATTTCTTCTCGGCATCGGTAATTCACATCTTTAATCTTAGCTACTTAGAAGGCTGAGATCTGAGGAGTGCAGCGAAAAGCCAGCATGGGCAGGAGAGTCTATGAGATTCCCATCTCTAGAAAACTAGAAGTGTGGAGCTGTGGCTCAAAGTAGTACAGTGCTATTATTGTGCAGAAAAGCTCAGGGACAGTGTCAAGGTCCTGAGTTCAAGCCTGAGTTACAAAGAAGAAGGAAAAGGAAGGAATTGTCATTTCCTCTATAGGTGAATTTTATTTATGCCATGCGTCAGAGAGCACTAGCAATACTGCATGGTTTTGAGATTTTTCTGAGATCCTAGATGACTTAAAGCTGAATTGCATTTGTTTAAATCATTTTGTATATTTAGCATGTTGTATATATAGCATGATAGTGAAAAGACTTCATATGAACCATGAGTCATATGAACCATGAGTCTACTTTTGCTTAAGTAACATTGACAAAAGAAAATTTTAATAATATATGCTATGTGTGTTTAAGGAAAGGGTAGGGGTTAGTAGCAAAATACATATGAAATGTTTGTAGAATATATTTTGTAAAATACTTATACTTCCCAGAAGAGGGCATCCTAACATAATGAATCCAGGAGAACTTTCCTATGAAGTTGACCTGAACCAGTGCTTTTGAGACATGGCCTAGGGGAAGCTCTGGGTTAGATTCCCAACACTATTCCTCCCATTGCCCGCCCTTCCCCCCCCAAAAAAAAGATCAGAGCCTGGTACACATGGCACATGCTTATAATCCTAGTTATTAAGGAAACTGACATAGGATCACTTAACCCCAGGAGTTCAAACCAGCCTGAGTAACAAAATGAGATTAAGAATTTAAAAAAAAAAAAAAAAGAGGGCTGGGAAGGTGGCTCAGTGGTAGAGCGCTTGCCTTGAATGCCTGAGGCCCTGTGTTCGATTCCTCAGCACCACATAAGCAAAAAGAAAAAAACCAGAAGTGGCGCTGTGGCTCAAGTGGTAGAGCGCTAGCCTGAGCTGAATGGCTGAGGGACAGTGCCCAGACCCAGAGTTCAGGCCCCATGACTGGCCCACCCCCCTCAAAAAAAAAAAAAAAAGAAATCAGGAAAGGACTTCTAGCCTAATCCTTTCATGTGGCTGATGTAGAAACTGAAGTCTAGCTAATAAAAATTACTTGTCATTTCATCATTTAATAATTATTGAGAATTTATACTATATGTATTACTAGGTATATATTACTGAATTTGAATAAGCTTGACCTGAAGCAGTTTTTAGTTCCATCGTGGAGAAAGTCGCAAATGATAAGGCAAATAAGCTTTTAGATATAAATGAATAGTAAAATTTAAAAAAAAAAAAAAACCTTCAGAAGCCAGGTACTGGTGGCTGATGGCTGTAATCCTTGCTACTGAGGAGTACAAGTTCTGAGGATCAGGGCTCAAGGCCAGTCTGCATAGTAAAGTCCCAGGAGATTTATCTCCAATTAACCAGCAAAAAGCCAGAAGTGGAGCTGTAGGTCAAGTGGTAAAACTCCCACTTAGAGTGAAAAGCTAAAGGAAAGTGCTCAAGCCCATAGTTCAAGTCCAAATACTGGCACAAAAATAAAGAAACAAATAAATAAATAGCACTGGATGCTCTGAAGAAAATATTGAGGTAAAGTAATGGAGAGAGGAAGTAGCGTATTGCAGCTTCAGATTGAGTGGTCTGGTAAGACTCCTCTCAGGTGAGTTGTATTATTGGGCTCAGCACAGGGTAGTGACAAAGAAAGTGCATTTCAGACTGAGGAAGTTAGAAAAGTAAGAACTTGCAGATAGGAAAGTGGCTTGTGCGTGTAAAATCGTAGTTACCTAGGAGGCTAAGATGGGGAAGATTAAAGCTCCAGGTCTGCCCAGAGAAGAAAGTTCATGGGATCTCAGCCAGTACAAACCTAGGTGAAGCTGTGAGCATATATCATGCCAGCTATGTGGCGTGATAAGGCCAAAGTGAGACTCGATTTGAGAAATAGTGAAAGCTTTAAAAAGGACTGGGGACACAGCTTAACTGGTAAAGCACTTACCTAGCAAGCATGAGGTTTTGAGGAAAAGAAGGAAATCCTGCCATATATAACAAAATAGGTCAACCTTGAAGACATTTTGCTATTTGAAATAAGCCTGTCACAGAAGGACAAATTTACTACATGATTCTACTAATATGAAGGATATAAATAAGCAAACATAGCAGAAAGTAGAATGGTGGCTGTCAGGGCTGAGGTGAGAAGAAGGTATGGGAAGATGTTATTCAGCAGGTAGTTTCAGGGCTGGGGATGTAGCAAAGTGGTAGAACACTTGTCTAGCTTGCACCAAGTCCTAAAGCTTGATTCTCAGCAAAAGAAAAAGAGGGAGAAAGAAAAAAAGGGGAGAAAGGGAGGGAAGGAAAAATGAAGAATGAAATATTAATGCATCAATTTCCTACTAGCTTTTTGTAATGGAAAGCAAGTTATCATCTAGAATTTGCTTGCTTTGGGTATTTAACAGGTTTATTTAAGTCTGAGTAGTGATATTACCAAGAATCATTTACCAGTGTTCATGTGCATTTATAGGAAGGATGATTGTAATCAGCCACTTAACAGCATACATTTAGGCACAAATGTGAGCAGTTGAATTACATTTTTGTTATGTTGAGATCCCAGATATCAGAGGCTTGAGTAGTCCTTAGCAATACCCTTCAACTACCCTTTTTAAAAAAGACTGTTATATATTAGTTCCAGGGCAAGCTAGACCAACTTTTATTAACATTTTCTTAGAGTAGGAAAATTTTAAATCTTTTTTTTGCCAGGATGCTTTCATCAACTTGACCTTGTAGTCAGCATCTGTATTTTTGGCACCATTCCCAGATATACAAGGAGAGTTTTCCAAATAAGTCCGTATTCTTCCAGATAATCCTCTTATATGTGTTTATATTTGAATTCCAAGTGTGAGTGTTTCTGTCTAAATTCCTTAACTTGGCAGTGCTTGGAGTAATGGAAATGGGACATAGGAATGGAGAAGAAATGTTCAAAGTCTGTAACTGGTTTGGGTTTTGGCAAGCTTTCTCTCAATGCTACAGTATCTCTAAGAATACTGCCTTAATAGTATAGGCATGCTGGCAAAACAAAACAGCAGCATCATACAAAATTCAAGCTAGTATATGGTTGGCAGGTGCAAATCGTTTGCGTTACAAAAAGACTTATTTTAGATGGGCACTGGAGATTCAAGCCTATAATCCTAGCTACTCAGGAGGCTGAGATCTGAGGATCATGGTTTAAAACCAGCCCAGGCAGGAAAGTCTGTGAAACTCTTATCTCCAGCCACCCACTAGAAAACCAGAAGTGGAACTGTGGCTCTAAGTGGTAGAGTGCTGGAGGTGGGAATGTGGCTGAGTGGTAGAGTACTTGACTCACATGCATGAAGCCCTGGGTTTGATTCCTCAGTACCACATATACAGAAAAAGCCAGAAGTGGTGCTATAGTTCAAGTGGTAGAGCGCTAACCTTGAGCAAAGGAAGCTCAGGGACAGTGCCCAGGACCTGAGGTCAAGCCCCAGGGCTGGCAAAAAAAAAAAAAAAGTGGTAGAGTGCTAGCCTTAAGTGAAAAAGCTCAGGGACAGCACACAGGTCCTTAGTTCAAGCCTCACAGCAGTATATACCTATATATACATATATTCATTTTGTTTCATTGGTAAACTACTGTATGTATTATTAATATGAAAAAATAGTGACGTATATTAATAATGTCAGAGACATTCTATATTCATGAATAACATATTGGGCAAGAAATTCTAGCTTTTCATCCTGTAATTGTGTTCTGACTTCTACAGTTACAGGCTCCTGCCTAATCTCAGCACATACTTATTATTTCAGGTCCTGTGGGAATGGCTGCTGCTGCTGCTGTGGCAACCGGGAAGAAACGGAAACGGCCTCATGTGTTTGAGTCTAATCCATCTATCCGGAAGAGGCAGCAAACACGTTTGCTTCGGTGAGGGTGCTGCTTCTCAAAAACTTCCACATGTATGGCAGTTACAACATACATTACTAGGTTCCTCCACACACTGGGTTAGAGTCCTTGATGACAAATTTAGTTAGACTTGAAAGTATTCCCAAAATTAAATAGATGAAAATCTAGAAATATGATTTAATCCATGTGACATATATCACATTAATTTCATTCTGAGAAAATGTGTATGCCTTTTATGTGCCAGGCAACATTCTAGGCATAATAATAAACAGCAAGTTCTAATAGAGGAGGAAGAAAACACATATGCTCTGGTAGATAGTAATGAGTATGGAAAAAATATAAAATGGAATGACCAAAATACTAAACACTGGAGGTAGGAAGGAGCATAGTAATTTCTCTCCTCTAGGATGGTTTGAAGAAACTGGAAGAATAACCATGTGGATGTCTCAGAGAAGAGCATTTCTAGCTGAAGTCTATGAAGAGCCACGGCTCTGCTGAGGTGGGACTTGGTAGCTTATTTGAGGGACAGGATGAGAGCTATCATATCAGGGCTTTGATTGTTGTTCCAAGCAAAATGGGAAGTCAATGAAGGCTTTGACCAAAGCATTGGTACAATCTGACTGTGTGTTGTTTTTTTTTTGTTTTTTTTTTTTACAAAAACAACCCAAATGTTATTTATTTAATATATATTGCAAGGACTTAACTCTTAATTTAAAAAACAAAACATAACAAAAACAACACCACAGCTCAAGATAACAGAGTCCTGTACAGAAGTCAAGGAAAAGGACAGGTAGACTAAAGAAAAAACAGACAACACAGGAGAAGCTGGACAGCTCAGGTCAAGGCTCTTGGCTGGAGACTTGTTTTGATTAGGTTTCTTTTTTTTTTTTTTTGAGTCCGGTCGTGGGGCCTGAACTCTGGACCTGGGCTCTGTCCCTCAGCTCTTCAGCTCAAGGCTAGCGCTCTACCACTTGAGCCACAGCGCCACTTCCGGCTTTTTTCTTTTTGCTTATGTGGTGCTGAGGAATCGAACCCAGGGCCTCGGGCATGCAAGGCAAGCGCTCTACCACTGAGCCACCTTCCCGGCCCACTTTTTTTTTTTTTTCCTCACATTTTGGGTAAAAGAACACTTATTAGAATCATCTTATGTTAAAGAAAATTTGATCAGTTTTCTGTCAATGTATGTTCTATCTTTTGTAACTATTTTTATTCTCTTTTCATTCTGATTCAGGAAGCTTCGAGCCACATTAGATGAATATACTACTAGAGTGGGACAGCAAGCAATTGTCCTCTGTATATCACCCTCCAAACCCAATCCTGTCTTCAAAGTATTTGGTGCAGCACCTTTGGAGAATGTGGTAAGTGTATAGCTGTGTTATCACATGCTGTTTGCTTTGTGTGGGTTATTGCCTTTTGACCCTCTTTGCAGTTCAGTAATTAGCACATCTATAGAGTTTTCTTGAAGAGGTAGAAGTCAAGACTTACTTTTAAACCACTTCATACAGCAAAATAAAGAAGGATGATTACTGTTTGCCATTTTACCTCAGCAGATGCAGTGGGAAATAGAGAGCACTTAAACCAATGTAATATGTGGAAGTCAGACCTCATATGATAAAATGAGCCATATGCATACATGCACAATCAAACAGACTGAAGTATTCTATACATAGGAATGGGTTTCCATGGTATAAATTCCTTTGACCAAATTATTTAAAAAAAAAAAAAAAAGTTTAGCCGGGTACTGGTGGCTCATACCTATAATACAAGCTATTCAGGAGACTGAGATCTGAGGATCTTGGTTCAAAGCCAGCCTGAGCAGGAAAGTCTGTGAGACTCTTATCTCCAATTAACCACCAGAAAACCACAAGTAGCCCTGTGGCTCAAGTGGTAGAGCACTCACCTTGAGCTGAAGAGCTCAGGGACAGCACCCAGGCCCAGAGTTCAAGCCCTATGATGACAAAAAAAAAAAAAAGTTTTAAAAAAAAGCAAGTTTTATTCTTCATTTATTTACTTACTCAACAAAAGAACTTTTTCATTGTTAAATACATACCACATAAATTCTTCAGAGTTTCAGGATTTAAATCTAGGAATATAGAGACCTATAAGAGTCTTAGAAACCTCACCTGAAGCCATAGAGGAAAAGAGACTGACACTGGGGCTGGAGAGAGAACAGGATGAAGCCAGTGGATTTCATGGGCCACAGCCAGAGCTTGGCTTTGGGCCAGGTATGCTCTAGAATCAAAGATCTGAGGGCAGCTCTGCTGTCAGCTCTCAGTTCTATGATAATCAATTTTTAGTTTCACTGGAGCTTACTATACTTTTGTTTATGGCATGGTTTCCCTGTGTAGCCCAGGCTGGCATTAAATTTACAGTCTTTCTCCTATTTTACCCTCCTTAGTTACTAAGATTATAGACATTTGCACCATCGTCTGGCTAAGTGGTGACTCTTTTAAGATCTCTTACCTTCCTAAGACTCCTCTTGTATCCAGAACATACAATTGAATTCTTGTCTGAAATGTAATGTGTTTTTGTATTGTTATTCATTCTTAGTAAGAGCCTACATCTAAGGATTTAACTTGATACATTAAAATTCAAAGAGCTGGGTGCTGGTGGCTCATGCCTGTAATCCTAGTGACTCAGGAGGCTGAGATCTGAGGGTTGTGGTTTGAAGCCAGCCTAGGCAGGAAAGTCTGTGAAACTCATCTCCAGTTAACCACCAGAAAACTGAAAGTGGTGCTGTGGTTGACAGTGGTAGAGCGCTAGCCTTGAGTGAAAGAGGTCACGGAAAGCTCCCAACCCAAGTTCAAGCTCTGTGACCAACACAAAAAAAGTTCGAAGACCCAGGATCCAGGATTATATATTACCAGATTTTTCCTGTGGGTTGGTAGTACAAAAAACTACGAATAGGGCTGGGAAGGTGGCTCAGTGGTAGAGCGCTTGCCTTGCATGCTCAAGGCCCTGGGTTCGATTCCTCAGCACCACATAAGCAAAAAAAAAGAAAAAAGCCAGAAGTGACGCTGTGGCTCAAGTGGTAGAGTGCTAGCCTTGAGCTGAAGAGCTGAGGGACAGTGCCCAGGCCCCACTACCGGACCCCCCCCAAAAAAAAACTACGAATACTGAAACATAGAAAAAAAAGGGGGGGCTGGGAAGGTGGCTCAGTGGTAGAGTGCTTGCTCGCATGCATGAAGCCCTGGGTTTGATTCCTCAGCACCACATAAACAGGAAAAGCCAGAAGTGGCGCTGTGGCTCAAGTGGAAGGTAGAGTGTTAACCTTGAGTTGAAGAGCTGAAGAACAGCGCCCAGGCCCAGAGTTCAGGCCCCAGGATAGACCACAAAAAAAAAAAAAAAAGAAAACAAAAAAATGTCATTCCTTTGGCAATAACAACTATTTATGTTACAAAAAATACAGTGGCAATTTTTTATTTTATTTATTTATTTATTTATTTATTTATTTATTTATTTATTGCCAGTACTGGGGCATGAACTCAAGACGTGGCATTGTCCCGGAGCTTCTTTTTTTCACGGCTAGCGCTCTACCACTTGAGCCACAGTGCCACTTCTGGCCTTTTCTGTTTATGTGGTACTGAGGAATTGAACCCAGCACTTCATGAATGCTAGGCAAGCACTCTACCACTAAGCCACATTCTCATCCATTGGTGGCAATAGTTTTTGAAGCTCTGTGTGTGTGTGTGTATGTGTGTGTGTGTGTAGATGGGGGTGTGTGTGGTCGTGGGGCTTGAACTCTGGGCCTATTGGTGGCAATAGTTTTTGAAGCTGTGTGTGTGTGTGTGTGTGTGTGTGTGTGTGTGTGTGTGTGTGTGTGTGTGTGTGTGTGTGTGTGTGTGTGTGTGTGTAGATGGGGGAGTGTGTGGTCGTGGGGCTTGAACTCTGGGCCTAGGTACTGTCCCTGAGCTGTGTGTGTGTGGTTGTGGGGCTTGAACTCTGGGCCTAGGTGAGCTGTGTGTGTGTGTGTGTGTGGTTGTGGGGCTTGAACTCTGGGCCTAGGTGCTGTCCCTGAGCTCTTCAAGGCAAACACTCTACCACTTGAGCCACAGTGCCACTTCTGGTTTTCTGGTAGTTAATTGGAGATAACAGTCTCACAGACTTTCCTGCCTCTAGGCTGGCTTTGAACCATGATCCTCAGATCTCAGCCTTCTGAATAGCTAGGATTACAGGTGTGAAAACCAGTGCCCAGTTGAAACTTTTATATTAGAAACCAGGATATCCTAGCTACGTGAGAGGTAAACATTAGGAGGATTGAGGTTCAAGGCCAACTCTGAGCATGAAGTTCATGAGACCCAATCAATAGCAATTTGTTGTGATTCAGACCTGTCCTACCAACTATGTAAGAAGTGTAAATAGGAGGACTGAGGTCCAAGCCAGTTCCGGCATAGAGACCCTATCTCCAAAATAACTAAAACAAAAAAGGGATGCAAATGTGACTGAAGTGGTAGAGCACCTCAATACCACCAAAAAAAAAGGAAGGAAGGAAGGAAGGGAAAGAAGGAAGGAAGAAAAGGAAGGAAGGAAGAAAAAAAGAGGGAAAGAAAGCAAGCAGCAGAAGGAAACGGTGTCTGTAATGAGTCCATAAATTTGTGATGTTTTTCTTTAATCCTCTTAGTTCTGGATTTATTTGGAGGATTCTATAATTACAAAAATCATACTGCTGGGGGCTGGGAATGTGGCTTAGCAGTATAGTCTTGCCTAGCATACACGAAGCTCTGGGTTCAATTCCTTAGCATTGCATAAACAGAAAAAGCTGTGGCTCAAGTGGTAGAGTGCTATCCTTGAGCAAAAAAGCAGCTCAGAGGCAGTGCTCAGGCCCTGAGTTCAAGCCCCAGGACTGGAGGGGAAAAAAATCATACTGCTTAACAACAGTAATACTTTTCTAAATGTTTGGGGTAGAATATAAGAATCTTTTTTTAAATTTTTATTTATTTTTTGTGCCAGTCCTGAGGCTTGAACTCAGGGCCTGGGTAATGTCCCTGAGCATTTTTGCTCAAAGTTAGCACTCCCACTTAAGCCATAACTCCACTTCTGGCTTTTGGTGGTTAATTGGAGATAAGAGACAGACTTTCAGGCTGGGAAGATGGCTCAGTGGTAGAGCACTTGCCTTGAATGCCTGAGGCCCTGGGTTTGATTCCTCAGTACCACATAAGCAAAAAGAAAAAAGCTGGAAGTCAGTGGCGCTGTGGCTCAAGTGTTAGAGCGCTAGCCTTGAGCTGAAGAGCTGAGGGACAGTGCTCAGGCCCAGAGTTCAGGCCCCATGCCCAGCAAAAAAAAAAAGAAAAGATACTATAAAAAGAGACACACTTTCCTGCCTGGGATATCTTTGAACCCTGATCCTCAGATCTTAGCCTCCTGAGTAACTAGGATTACAGGCATGAGCCACTGATGCCCAGCTGAGAATCTTTGCTTTTTAATCCTCATGAGACATCAGTAAGGAAGATTGACCTGCTGATACTTTAGTCTACTTAGCAGAAATCCCAGGATCCAAACGTTGTTGGAACTTGGGCAAACCTAATTTTCTCTTTTTTGTTCTAAGATAAGCTCTTGAACCCTAATGCAGGTTAACTTGAGTCCTAAATGCAAGTTGATTTCCTACTGCCCCTTCCCCTTGTGTATTCTTATAAATGAATGAACCCATTACTAGTGGTCATAGGATCTAGTACATAGATGCCTGTGTATGGATGCTGCTGCTGCTGCTGTTGTCTGATTCTTTCCAGTACAGCCTCTTGTGCTCTTGAATCTCCTGTCTGTGTGGTTTTTGGCTTTGAGCAAGTAGTAGTTTTGGATAGATTACTTAGAACTTTAAATACATAAGTCCTTGAGGATCTTGAATGCTCTTCACAATCAACTGCCAGTTAGGTGTGGCCTGAGAAGTGCAGAATGATGATTGGCATTCCTGTTAGATCTGTAACAGGTGATACACCTGTGTTGACTGTTAATTTTTTTTTTTTTTTTTTTGTCGTTCATGGGGTTTGAACTCTGGGCCTGGGCACTGTCCCTCAGCTCTCCAGCTCAAGGCGAGTGCTCTACCACTTGACCCACAGCGCCACTTCTGGTTTTCTAGTGGTTTATTGGAGATAGGAGTCTCACAGTCTTTCCTGCCCGGGCTAGCTTTGAACCGTGATCCTCAGATCTCAGCCTCCTGAGTAGCTAGGATTATAGGCATGAGCCACCAGCGCCTGACTGTTAAAATATTTTAACTGAAAAGCAGTATTCCATAAAACTTTTTCCACTGACTTTGCTTCTGCTGTTGTTACATGTGATTTCATCATCTTTTCATTTAACTACACTCAGTATAATGTCTTTGGAGCCACAGGTATTTTTACCTGCCAGTTGTCGGAGTGTTTGTTCTGTGGCCTTGCAGTGGCTCAGGAAGGCCAGCCCCACCCACTCTGTTGTTGCTTGGCACCAGTCTCCTTCCTGGTTGTTAAGCATCTTGTTTACTTCTGTCCTTAATTCCCTGCAGGTGCGAAAGTACAAGAGCATGATCCTGGAAGACCTGGAGTCTGCTCTGGCAGAACACGCCCCTGCGCCACAGGAGGTTAACTCGGAGCTGCCACCTCTTACCATCGATGGGATTCCAGTCTCTGTGGACAAAATGACCCAGGTAAGAGGCGGGAAGTGAGGAGGAGATGCAAAGAGGCATGCATAGGTGTGGGCGGGCCTCTGATTTTCCTAGCTTTGTCCTTGGAGATCCAACCAGAGAGTGAGATGCAGACTGGAGTGTGCTGATCAGTCAGTAGCAGCCTGGGGGAAGCTGGGGGAGTGCTAGAGGATGCTTCTGACTAAGGACAGGCTTGCACTCCTATTGGCAGTTCCCTTTCACTGGGAACTGGTGTTGGTTTGAACTGGAGTTTGATGCATCACAATCAAGTGGGACAAGTTAGTCTCTTGGGCTGAGCTGCTCCTCTTTCTATAAAAATTCTGAGTACCTAAACAAATGTTTATTATGAAGCAAAGGTCCTCTCCTTGGAAAGTAAGAACACAAAATTCAGAATGACACCTCCTGCTGTTGGAATAGTTTTAAGAAGGGACAAGAAGGATAAGAGAATGATAGAAGGGACCAGGTTAATGGAGTATATTGTATACATGTGGGAAACTCCATTTGTACAACCAATGTATACTAATGAAGTATTTGGTGGGGGAGGGTACTGGGGCTTGAACTAGGGCCATGAACTCTCAGTTAGCTTTTTTACTCATGGCTAGCACTCTACTGCCTGAGCCACACCTCCATTACAGCTTTTTGCTGGTTAACTGGAGATAAGACTCTTAGGTTTGTCTGCCTTGGAAGCTTTGAATGGTGATCTTCGGGTCTCAGTCTCCTGAGTAGCTTGGATTACAAGCATGAGCCATCAGTACCCAACTAATGAACCATTCAAGGACACCTCCTGAGTCATTCATTCTCTCCCTCTTTATCTGAGAAGGAATAGCAAAGTGTATTTAGCTTGATGTGTCTGCATACCTAGATTGTTCCTTTGTGATTTTTTAAAACTCTTGATAGCATGATCAAGATCACTTTATATAACATGCATTTCCCACATTTTTGTTCTTTCTTAATGTACTTACTTATAGCTTGCTAAGTCTAATTGTCAGTCTTCTTATTTTGTCTTCTGGTACTATTTAGGTTGACTACTCCTTTTTTGGGGGGTGGAGGAATGTTGGTCGCGGGGCTTGGGCACCGTCGCTGAGCTCTTCAGCTCAAGGCGAGCGCTCTACCACTTGAGCCACAGTGCCACTTCGGTTTTCTGGTGGTTTATTGGAGATAAGAGTCTCTCCGCCTTTCCTGCCTGGACTGGCTTTGAACTGCAGTCCTCAGATCTCAGCCTCCTGAGTAGCTAGGATTATAGGCGTGAGCCACCAGCACCTGGCTCCTTTCTTCATTAGATATTATCTTGCCTTGTTCTCTGTGACTCCACAAGGATATCTTCCTCCTACTTCACTGGCCTTTCTGCTGATTTTTCCTCTGCTTATCTAAAATTTGGAATGAGGGGCTGGGAAGGTGGCTCAGTGGTAGAGTGCTTGCCTTGCATGCATGAGGCCCTGGGTTCGATTCCTCAGCACCACATAAGCAGAAAAGGCTGGAAGTGGCACTGTGGCTTATCTTCGGTTAACCATCAAAAAGCCAGAAGCGGTTCTGTGGCTCAAGAGTGCTATCCTTGACCAAAAAAATGCTCAGGGACAGTGCTCAGGTCCTGAGTTCCAGGACTGGTGCCACAAAAAGAAGGGAGGAAGGGAAAGAAGAAGAGAGAGAAGGAAAGAAAAAAAAGAAAGAAAAAAAAAGAAAGGAACAGACACATAGTTCTGTAGTATTTATAGTGATTAAATGAAAACTTTAGGTACCTTTAACAATAGTCATTAGAACTCAGCCTATAAGCTATTATCTGTATTCACCCTCTGAGAATTAGAAGAGGCAGAAATTTAGACAAAATCATTAGTTTGGTGTCAGACTTTCTAAGTTGTCCAGGTTAGTCTTGAATTCCTGGGCTCAAGTAATGCTGCATCAGCTCCTTTTCCAGAAAATTTTAAAGTCAATTAAAATTTTCTAGGATATTACAAGCCTAGAAGTTGACCTTGTCAGTGCTTCTTAATTATTATGCACAGGAATCATGTTCAACATGTCATGTGCAATTGCTTGTCAGTAGTCTGAAGTGGAACCTGAGAGTCTGCCTTACAACAAGCTCTCTAATGATGCCAATGGTGCTGGTTCTCAGGCTGCATACTTTGAGTCAAGGTATTTGTCAAAGAGTCTTTAAACAATAATTACAATTTTGCTAATAGAATGTCACTTCTACTCTTTATGATGGTTGAGTCCTTTAGGATTCTCACGTACACTCACAAAATCTTTGTAGGAAGCTAGGTGCCAGTGGTTCATGCCTATAATCCTACTTCTTAGGAGACTGAGATTTGAGGTTCACAGTTCAGAGCCAGCCCTGGCAAGAAAGTCTAGTCTTATCATGCCTAAGCATGAGACTCTTAATCTCCAATAAACTACCAAAAAAGCTAGAAGTGGAGCTGTGGCTCAAGTAGTAGAACACTATATATAGCAAGCTCAGATACAGTTCCCAGGCCGAGTTCAAGCCCCAGGATTGACATATACACACAGTCTATTAAGGATCTCTAATAAATTCAGGCAAAGATGGTATTATAGAAAATACATCTCTATAAAGACCTGTTCAGTAGTACTGGTTCAAATCCACTCCCTCACCCCCTTTCCCTTCTCCTTCCCTCTGCTCTCTGAACTTGCTGTCCTTCTCTTACTCTCACTGGGACAATTTCTGTTGCTTTAATATTCCCAGTAGTGATGATGCAACAGGGTTGTAATTCTTCACCTGTTTCAGAGAAAATTCAGCACAGAAATTGCTTGGTTAGAAAGAAGTTGTTCACAAGACTTGTCCTGCATAACTTAGAAAACAAGCAGTTACCAGTTTAAGTTTTTGAGGGTTTTATTTTTGGTATAACTCGGGTTTGAACTCATGGCCTCACTTGCTTAGGCATAAAACTATTGAGCCATACTTCCAACCTTGAGGGTTATATCCTATTTTGACAAAGCATAGTAAGTCCAGTCTTTTTTCTTTTTTTGGGGGGGGGGTCCAGTTGTGGGGCCTGAACTCTGGGCCTGGACGCTGTCCCTCAGTTCTTCAGCTCAAGGCTAGTGCTCTACCACTTGAGCCACAGCGCCACTTCCGGCTTTTTTTTTTTTTTTGCTTATGTGGTGCTGAGGAATCGAACCCAGGGCCTCATGCATGCAAGGCAAGCGCTCTACCACTGAGCCACCTTCCCAGCCCCTAGTTTTTTTTGTGTGTGTGTGTGAAAATACTGTACAGAGGGGTTACAATTGCATGGGCAAGATAATGAGTACATTTCTTACCAAGCATTGTAGCCTCCTCCTTTGTTTCCCCTTCCCATCCCTTCCCATCCCCCCCCCCCCCCACCCAAGTCTAGTCTTTTCTATCATAAAGTAGAAACAAATTATATGCTAGGTAAAATAAGATAGACTTACCAGGAAAATAGTGATTGTTATATATGATTTGTTTTAAGTGGGTAAAATCATAGAGACAAGATAGAGAAGTTACCAGAGGTTGGGGAGGCAGAAATCAGGAGTTAATGTTTTAATGAGTATGGAGTTTCTATTCAAGGTGATAATGAAAAAAAATTCTAGCAATAATGGCTACCGATGGTTATATAACATTGTGAGTACATTTAAGATTACTGAACTGTGCACATTAGAATACTGGATTTATATGGATTTTACCACAGTAAACATACTTTTATTTTTTTATTTTTTTAATTTTTTTTTGTCGGCTGTGGAGCTTGAAATAGGGGCATTGGAGCTGTCCCTGAATTCTTTACTTGTGGCTAGCATTCTACCACTTTGTGCCACAGATCCACTTTCAGTTTTCTGGTGGTTAATTGGAGATCAGAATCCCACAGCCTTACCTGCCTGGGCTGGTTTTGAAACAAGATCCTCAGATCTCAGCCTCCTGAGTAGCTAGGATTACAGGTGTGAGCCACCAGTGCCCAGCGATTTTTTTTTTTTATTTAGTTGGTTGTGCAGCTTGAACTGGGCACTGACCCTAAGCTTTTCACTCAAGTCTAGTGCTCTACCACTTGAGCTACAACTCCACTTCTGATTTTTTTCTGAGTTTATTGGAAATAAGAGTCAGGTTGCTTCAAATAGCAATCTTCAGAACTTGGCCTCCTAAGTATCGGCCTCCTAAGTAGCTAGGATTACAGGTATGAGCCACTAGCACCTGGTTCTGTGTGTGTGTGTGTGTGTGTGTGTGTGTGTGTGTGTTCATTCGTGTGTGCGTGTGTGTTCGTTCGTGTGTGCGTGTGTTCGTTCCTGTTCTGGAGCTTGAACCTTGGGCTGGTCTCTGTCCCTGAGCCTGTCTGTGCTCAAATAGTGTTCTTCTACTTGTGCCACAGCACCACTTCCAGCCTTTTCTGTTTATGTGATACCGAGGAATTGAACCCAGGGTTTCATATATGCTAGGTAAGCACTCTATATCACTGAGCCACATTCCCAGCTCCTCGGTATTTTTTTTTTGGGGGTCCAGTCGTGGCGCCTGAACTCTGGGCCTGGGCGCTGTCCCTCAGCTCTTCAGCTCAAGGCTAGCGCTCTACCACTTGAGCCACAGCGCCACTTCCAGCTTTTTTCTTTTTG